GGAGAGAAGGCAGGAACAAAGGAAGGAAGGAGGGGAGAGTTAAGGATGGAGGCAGGGAAGGAGGGAGAGGAGAGGGAGGAAGAAAAGAAAGAAAGAGCTCCTTTAAAACATAAATGAATCACCCTATTTAAAAGCTGTATTAGTTACCTGTCAGGTCAATGGCATAGCTGTAGCCAAGCTGGTCTGCAGTTAGAAAGAGTTCCGCATTAGTTACCGGAGGGAAGAAAGGCACCATGTTATACATCCGATTGTGGCCAATGGGCGCCAGCTCCTGAGGCCAGGCATCAGCAGAAGGCTTAAACCTTTTCATCCACTCATCAAAAAGGGCATCAGTAAAGGAATGAAGGACCTGCAAGACAGTTGAGCATACTATTAAATGTTGTTTAGTCTGCTCCAATCAGATTCCCAAGCTTTCTGGAAAATGGACGTGGATTCTTCTTGACATAAGGAACTTCTATCTATCCTTAATGACATACCTACTGGCATTTTTAGTTTTCAAGGATGTATGACATCTCTCTCCAAGTAGGATTATAAACCACTTTGTCAAGTGAACAAATGAAAGTTAACCTTGTAGATTTAACACTGGTATGGGCACCTTTGAGGCCTTCAACAAATACATGCTAATTTATTAATTTCAGAGAAAAGGCAAGTATGATGAGATAAATATTCTAGTCAATATTTAGACTCTAGTTTTATGAGCAGGGAAAGAAGAGAGGTTGTGTTTACCAGCATCCTAGTACCGCGGGGCAGTGAAAGAAAGAAAATCCCCAAAATGGGTTTTCAAATTTTTGTCACTATTTTATCTGCTCATTTTATAACCCTCTCAATTTTGAATTCTTGGTGTTACGTCATGAAAAGAAAGTCTGAAAATGTAATACATATAGTGTTCATTTTTACTTTCTCGAGGAAGTTGTTAAAGCCCTTTTCAAATACAATAATTATTACATGTTTTAAAATATTAGCAGTACAATTTCCACATTTATAGCCCTGATTTTGCAACAGGATGTACGTGTGAGAGGTCAGCTCGGCCTTCGTGGCTGGGAGTTGAGTTCGTCTTTCACTCCCTGGACTGGAAGCTCAGGAGCTCAGGGACAGTGTCTGCTTTTCTTGGCCTGTCACATGGAGGAGGGGGACTTATTTCCAGAAATACTCGTTAAATGAATTCATTCATCTGTTCACCACTACACCTTGTACACACCCCAATTATAGTAGATGCCATCGAGTCAGCTCTGACTCATGTGTGTCAGAGTAGAACCGTATGCTCCAGAGGATTTTCAATAGCTGATTTTTCAGAAGCAGATCTCCAGGCCTTTCTTCCAAAGTGCCCTGGGTGGACTCGAACCTCCAACC